ACGGCAAGGAAGGGAAAGAATACGAGTATTAGGCAGCCAATTAAATGAGAATTGCCTCGGGCTGCAATGGAAAAGTTGCGAAAACGGAAAATTGTTTAGAGTTAGAGAAACGGAAATCTAATTATGAACAAAGGAGACGCAAATGGACAGCCAATTTGTGTGCGCACACACTTCTTGCTTTATTTAACCTGAAAGCGCCCCGAGTCCGGCTTCGATATTCTACTTTTTCTTATTTTTTTTCCACCCCCCCCTACCCTACCCTGTTGGCTCTTTGTTTCCTTCTCGCTGTCAAGTTAATGCAAAATGAAATATTTTTTATTTTTTATTGAAAGTCTCCCTCCTTCCTACACATCAAAGGACGACTGGGCGGAAAGATTGAGCCAAGCTGTTCGCGGAAGGAAAATTCGTTTGTCGATAAAGCTTAGTGCGAGAAAATGAATGGCGAAGAGCCATAATTTCGCATTCGAGCGAAACTAATTTCGAATTCAGCACACACGGCTAAGCAAGTCACAGGGTTTTACTAAAGAGATATTCGACTTTTGAATACCTCTAAAGAGGGGACAATCCAGTGGTTTATTCTAAATATAAAAATTATAGATATATTTAAGCAAAACATCAGCCAACTTGTTGATTATCGATAAGTAAAGTTTGAAATAAACCTAGTTTGCAAAGGCATAGCATATGTTATTACCTAGTCCAGCATCTTTTGACCTTTAGCTTGTTGCTTTGCCTCATGACCGCAAGAATTGAACCCAACTCCCGACTAGGCCAGCAGCAGTGCGTGTCTTTAAAGCCTGTCCCACAGACCAGGGACTTAGACCAAACTTTTCGGGTGTAAGTGGCCGTTGGGGTATGAAATATGCACAGGCCACAAGTGCAGGCTCTGCCCGTTTTTCCAAGTCAAAGTTCCCGGCTGAGTTTTGGGCGCTGAGCCCACGCTTAGGCTGCTTATTAAATGTCCCTGGAAGGACGAAGGTGGCAACCAAACACCTTGGCCACGCCCCGTTTTACGGCCTCTACGTGGGCCGGGCATTGAGCAGGCTTTTATTGGGCCACGGCCAGGGGTCGCGGGGGCAACACACGGAAAGTAAAAAGGATTCCCACGGCGAAAGGAGCTTTGCCAGAAGTTGATTTTGTCTGCTTGTCGGCCCTCCGGAATTTCTATTTGTTTCGCAACGAAAGTGAAAGCTATTGGGACGGAGAGCGAGAGGGTTAGGGCGAAAATGGCAGAATAAAACCAATTGAAAAATTTATTTGCTTTCATAAATGAAATTGAAAATGATTTTCCTGGGTCTGAGTTGGGTACGATTTTTCGTTATCGTTTTTGCTCTCATTTTTCCCCACACGCTCCACTGGCCCCGATATTTGCAGTGCGGCAATTTAATTGGTGGCCCGCAGTGGCGATATGTGAAATATTTATGGTGGTGGCGGTGGCTGCTGTTAATGGAAACTGAATGGGAGCTGCCTGGGCACTCGTATTTTCATTAGCACTTGGAAAATATCCAAGGACTTGGCAGGATATTTGAAACTCATTTCGGCAATCACTAAATGTTACTTATTTTAGCTTATTGTGTTTGATTTCGATATATATTTAAGTTGCTTAAGTATAAGTCTTCATATTCTTTTTTTAAACTTGAGAAGGGACTAGCAAAGCTCAATTACCCTCCAAGGCCAGGCCCAGATTACTTGTTATCATAGATTATTTTGTTGTAACCTCTAGGTTACCTAGATAATCCCGCCAGCTAATGTGACAAATGTATATATTTCCTGGAAACTCTTGCCTGCTTTCATCCCAAATAATTTCCAAGAAGCGGTAATGATATTATAAACAATACTTAACAATGGAAACACCTGCGCAACTCACTTACCTCCAGCCCGCTGCTGCCTTCCTGCCTGCCCTTCGATTTTTATCCCATTATGCTGGGAATTTTCTCTTTCGCTGGCTTTGACTTTAAAAACCATAGTCAATGCCCTCCGACAGCCTTCAACATCAATTCTCGAAGCGAAACATAAAACTTTTCCCTATGAATGAGGATGGCCGAGAGGAGGCGGGTGTGCGTAATGAGGGTGGGAGGTGGCCTTAACCAACAACCGATATCAGTATAATATAACAACATAACTTTCTGAACTTTATGAGCGCCGATTGCTGTTGTCATTTCACTTGCTGCCGTTAATGTTGCTCCTTGTTGTGGTTGCTGCCGCCGCCGCCGCTGCTGCTGCTGCTGCTGCCGCCTTTCTTCCTGCGGCAAAAGTTGAAGAAGTTTCGAGAGCGCGGTTTCTGCAAAACTTTTGTCTTTTGATTTTGATTTTGCCTGGCAAAAGTCCTGTGCACAGCGACTTGAAGAGTTTTCCGTTTTCTTTTCACTGAAAAGTTGATGACGATTTGTTGTGGTTCCCCCTTGTTGACACTGCGGTTGGGTTTTGGCCCTGTATCCATGGCTATCGATTTACAGCTAATTAAAATGAAAATTTCGCATCAAATATCCTTGCCTGCACCTGTAATTAATCACATTTGCATGCGGCTTGGGTTACCCTCATTGCGTCAGGGTGTCCTCATGTCGGCAGATGGAACAACGGCCGCATTTCCATGCGGATTTTTCGCCGACAGTTGCGCTGAAATCCAATGCCGCACACAGGCGGGCGGTACCGAGTTCCATATGGCTCATTGCGCGATTTGATTGATCCAACTGGTGACACCACCTCCCGGTGGCTGCGACGACTGGGGAAAACGGGAAAAGCCACTTGCCCCAGCTGTGTCGTGCATTTGTCTAAAATGTCAAATATAAATATTTGCTCGGTCCGTGTTTGCGTTTCGTTTTCGGGTTTCTAATAAACATTGCGCTTTGTGAGCGGTAACGTAATGGCGCCGATAAATCGGGGGAGCGGTGGGCGTGTCACGATTGTATATATTTGCACAGAGACAACAAGGACTCGGGATTTTGTACTGACGGTCGCTGTTGCTGCTACTGCTGCTGTTTGCACTCTGGCCCGAAATGTTTTGGGTTTCCATTAATTACATTGTCAATAGATTTCAATTCGTGTGGGCGTGTGCATGTATGTGGCGTTCTTTGTTTAGTTAATCAACTGTGTGGGTGGCCAACAATTGATAGGGGTCTTGAGATGGTCCTGAACTAGTCGAACAAACAGTTAATTTCCATCACAAAAGACCGGGTCTACAATGGTTTCTTGAGATAAAAGCTGATTATGAAAGGATTTCGAAATTGGGAATGACAATAGTGATATATCGATAAATAATATAATAATAAATAGCGATAAATTCCATATTTTGTAAAGGCTTATACCAATTTACCAATAAATTCAACTTTCTATGTGGAAATCTTTCACTACAAACCCCAGTAAAACATTTCACAGCGATCTCTCTCTCTCTCATCTTGGTGCCTCTTGTCTTTGGCCTGGGAGTTGAAAGGACCTTCAAGTGTACTCGAGCTTGTCGAGCACAAGCAGTTAATTCCAATCACAAAGGGCCTGGTCAACCGTAGCCTGCCTCGATTAAGTGCTAGGCTCAGTAGCTTATGGTGGGGGATGGACTACATTTATTCTTGGAATTGCCAAATTTAGTAATCCCCAAAGAGAACCCTTTTTCGGTTACCCAGCTAATTGTGAGAGTGCATGTTATGCCATTGATTTTCCCAGCAAATAAATAAATAAATATTTTTGACTTTGCTGCTGTCGTAAAACAAGGAGAGCGCACCACGCAGCCAGCCGTGCGTATACGTAATGCCCTCATAAATGCAATCCCAAAACTCCCGCCGGGAAATAAACATGGCGAGGCACTCACGCTGACAAATCCCTCAAAAAACCAACTTAAGCTGGCACAAACACACTTGCACATGCACACAAAAACATAGCCAGTGGAGACCAAAAAAAGGAGGGAAACAGGGCGGCAGATACATTATCGTATCAATGGCTTATTGGAAGAACAGGCAACTCGACTAAATCCCCGTATAAAACACCCTCTGCCACTCCCGAAATGTCTCCCCCGCCCGTTCCTTTGGGTTTGAGTACGTGTTCAAATTGAAACCCAATGCCAGCCCATTGGCAGGCTCGGTGAATCCGCCTTTACTGAGTGCCTGCCTGCCTGCCTGGCAATGTTGCTGTGATTCAGTGGCTGTCAACCTGTGTAATTAATGAATAATAATGTCGCAATGAAATGTGGTCTGGAGATGGACTGGCAAACAATTTAGGATTAAAAACCCGAATCGAAAAGGAATATATGATTTTTTCTAATTGTTTTTATACAAGATTTTTGTGGTAAAATATTATAATATTAATATAAATTAAATAATATCTTATTTTTATATTAGTTTTTCCTTTAATTTCGAGTTTATATCTTGTTTTAATAGACTTGTTTTATTTATTAATATTTTTTATATAGAGAATTCAAACCCCGAACTACTCTAACAATGACAAACCTACAAATTGCGTGCAAATTTTCTAGTGCCAAATTATCTCTCGAAACAGGCCATTTATGCGGCTGATGGGCCGGTTAAAGCTGACATAAAGGGAGAAAAGAGCCACTCTGTGTGACCGAAATGGTCTGCGGCTCATGAACTGTGAATGCCCTGACCCGAAGACCCCCGCTGACCGCAGTGACCAGTGAAAATGGAGTCGCGTCTAATGAACAGGGATGTACAATTTGGGAATATGCAGAGCTGGCTCCTCCCCCACCCCGGCGAAATGGATTTCGGCGGCATTAAAAATCAGTTTAGGTCAGCCAGAATGTGAAGGCGTAATAGCGAATCAATAAAGCCCCAGCCGAGTGGGGTCAATGTGTGAATGTGGCATTACCCAGCTTCCATAACGGACGCCTCGCATGGGGTCGAGACAGCCGAGTGTTTGTGGTCGACTGCTAGTTGGCTTTTCGACCAACAATTGCAATGGAGATTAAAGCGCTAAACTTTCATTAACATTTAAATTTAGCGTTTGTACCCTAGATAAAATCCGTCTCACTCCAATTAGATCCAACTATTTACATTAGGTTTCAGTGTCGATTCCTAGTCGTTGACTGCTGTTCGAAGATGAAGAACCTCACCCAATTTAAGCTCCTTTTTATTTTCTTTGCTGTGATTGCATTTCTGGACATCTCATATGGAGGTATTAGATACTTTACAATGTAAACACTTTTCAGAATGCTTTTCCTTACAGGAAAATGCGATAGCCCCAGCTCTACACGAGGCCCTTGCAAACGTCGCTTACATAGATGGACTTATAGCGCAAAATTAAATTATTGCTCTTTTTTTGTTTATGGTGGCTGCCCCGACACAGAAAACATATTCAAAACAAGGGGAGAATGCTACTCTGCTTGTGTACGCAAGAGTTTAGAAGAAAAAAGCTAAAATAACAATAAAAATCTTTTTAGACTTGACTACTCCAAAGTATGACTTTTTGAAGCGCTAAGCTTTAAATTAAATTTAAATTTAGCGAGCAATTAGAAGCGTTTATCCATTGCAAAACTTTCCCTAATCATATCCGTCGCACTCTAATTAGTTCCAACTAGTTTTTCCATTAAGTTTCAGTGTCAAATCCTAGTCGTTGACTGCTGTTCGAAGATGAAAAACCTCACCCAATTTAAGCTCTTTTTTATTTTCTTTGCTGTGATTGCAATTCTGGACATCGCATATGGAGGTATTACATACTTGGCAATGTAAACACTTTTCAAAATATTTTTTCCAACAGGACCATGCGATGACCCCACCTCTGAAACAGGCTCTTGCACTGGTCACATACATAGTTATACTTACAGCCCAATATTTAAAAAATGTTTTTTTTTTGTTTTTGGCGGCTGCAGGGCCACAAGAAACATATTCCCAACACTCGAAAAATGCGAATCTACTTGTCTACCCAAGAATACAGCTAAACAAGAAAATAAACTAACTTCAGCACGCCGAAGTTTATATAAATATAAATATCGAAACCGATTTGCAAGGGTATAAATTGGTTTTGATATTTATATTATAAATTATAATGCTGAAAACACACACAGAACAGAGTTTAATTACATTTAACCTATACTTATTATGTTTACAGTTTGACAGTTACTGTTTTACATTCCCAGCGTTACATTTTCTCTACATTAACCGAACGCTTCAATGTCAGCTATATGATATAGTTGTCCGAAGTTATAAATTTTTTCCTATTAATTTCCTGATCGTTCCTATGGCAGCTATATGATATAGTCGTCGGATTTTCCTAAAATTAAAATCGATATTCCAAAATGATACAAAATGGCCAAATCTCAAATATGATTCAAAAATCTTGAAAAACAGCCAAATTATAATTTTTTTTCCAAAATTTTATCGAACATTTGTATGGTAGCTATATGATATAGTCATCCGATTCGGCCCGTTCCGACATATATAGAAGTATATAGAAGACTATATGCAAAGTTTCATTCAGGTAGCTTTAAAACTGAGGGACTACTTTGCATAGAAACGGACAAACGGACCGATGGACAGACGGACATGGCTAGATCGACTCGGCTGTTGATACTGATTAAGAATATATATACTTTATAGGGTCGGAAAGGTCTCCTTCACTGCGTTGCAAACATCTGACTGAAATTATAATACCCTGAAAGGGTATAAAAATCTGTTTAGACTTGACTACTCCACAGTATGACTTTTTTCTACCAATGCTTTCAATAGCGATTGAAGCGCTAAGCTTTAAATTAAATTTAAATTTAGCGAGCAATTAGAAGCGTTTATCCATTGCAAAACTTTCCCTAATCATATCCGTCTTACCCCAATTAGTTCCAACTAGTTTTTCCATTAAGTTTCAGTGTCAAATCCTAGTCGTTGACTGCTGTTCGAAGATGAAGAACCTCACCCAATTCAATCTCTTTTATATTTTCTTTGCTGTGATTGCATTTCTGGACATCTCATATGGAGGTATTAGATACCTTACAAAGTGCAGGGCACTCACTTCTGAATCAGGCCCTTGCGTTGCTCACCATCATAGATATACTTATAACTCACTACTCAAGAATTGTTTGTTTTTTGTTTATGGCGGCTGCGGGGCCACAAAAAACATATTCAAAACATATGAAGAATGCATCTCTGCTTGTGTACCCAAGGAATAGCTGAAAAAAGCTAAAAAAACAATAAAAATCTGTTTCGACTTGACTACTCCGAAGTATGACTTGTTTCCAGAGTTGCAGAACAGTCTCTTTGCAGGAGTGCGAATTCTCGTGCGTGGGTCTAAGTGAAATCATCGTCTCTCAATCGTTGTAATTTCTGTCAACACTAAACCAAGTTCAAAGAGATCAAAATGAAATTAAGGTACAGTTTATGCATTGTCCTGCTGTTATTTGTGGCCGGGCTGTGGGCTTGCGATGCACGTAAGTTGGTTAGCGACGGGGATCATCGTCGGAGTTAATGTCTGGAGTTAATCCCCTAGAGAACTGCTATGACGAGCCCAGCCAAACAGGTCCCTGCAAGGCCGCCTTCCCATCGTGGCGCTTCATCAGGGAACGGTGGGTGTGCGAGCCCTTCGTGTACGGCGGCTGCCGGGCAACGGAAAATATTTTCGATGACGAGGAGGAGTGCAGGCAGCTCTGCCTGCGCTGAGGTCAAAATTTCGAAAAAAACAAACACATTCATTGCCCACCGATGATGGCGGCCAAAATAAAAGTTTTCAGCTGGCGGAAAGTTTCAAAGCCCCGTCGCTCGGGCCGCTCTGAAAATATGATTTGTCTGCAAAGTTGAAATAGATTTCCAAACAATTTTCGTGGCCCTGCGCCATGCAAATGAACTGCAGTCCAGTTTTGATTTATGCTGATGAAAATTGAGTTTATGCGAAAACGATATTATATGTACTATAGTTGGGAATTGCTACTGGGGCACGTCGGGTGCGATAATAGGCTTCAAACCTGGCCATATCCCGGCTTTTCCCAGTTTGCATTTCATTTTATTTTTCCCATACATAGAGTGGGCCCGCGCTGCGTATACTTAATCCCACAAAGCCTAGCCGCGTCGGATCAACTGGAACCGCCACGTCACGCCCCGATCCGATCCGTTACTTTACGTTCCGCTCCGCCCCCACAATTGAATCCAATCAGTTCGTGGGCGTTGCCTGGCCTCACTTAATATGCAGGTCCCGGCACAAATTAAAGCCGGCAGTACAAGGCAACTACCACAAACTGTTATTGTGTGTTTGCGCGATGTCCGTTATTAGATTTTCCGACAACAGGCAGAGTTCACTTGTCGCCTACATAACAGGTTGGCATGGCGACAGCACTGTTTCCTGCTCCGCCTCTGCCTTCCCATTTCCGCTTCCATACAGCTCTCCCGATAGGGTGCGTATGTGTGAATTAAATTCATTAGAAATTTGCGCACCAGAGAGCGGGTGCTGATGTTTGCTCCATTATGACGGTGAAGCAGGTAAAGTTTCTTATATAAATATGGAAATTGCAAACTTGAGAAATATTTCTCCAATTAAAATACATATTTCCAATTAAATTCTATGGCTAGAAACGCATGTATAATAACTGGATTAATTGGGTCCAGATCCACGCCTGCCCACAGCCAGAATGATAGTCGATCGGTGTATGCTCCACACTGAAGTCGCATGAGAAGTCTACTCATAAAAGTCAAGGACAGCGCTTATTTAATTCCCAAAAAATACCCTTCTGCATTTCGTACACTTTAACCAATTTAAAGCAACAATTTATTCGGGTAATTTAATTATCTCACTCATTAGATTTGCCACCGAGGAAACCAATTTGTTTACTGCCAATCGCCTTGACTTCATTACAATGAAAGTCGAGAGGAGGAGAGCGGGAACTGCGGGCCTCAGTGTACACGAGCATGTCGAGAAAGTAAACAAAACGGCATTGATCCATTAACTGGGAGCCTTTTTGCCACAGAAACAGAAATTCAATCAATCAGTGCTCAGTTTCCCTGGGCTTTGTTTGTCCACACGTACATAGTGAGGGCAATGACGATGGAAAAACAACGTTAACCCGGAGAAAGGTTCATTGTGGTCAGAGGAGAATGTCGCCTGGCAACAATTAGCCTGGCTTTCTTCACTCGATTGTCTGCCATAAACTGCAGAGGTCGAGACTGCTGCCAGAATTAATTACTGCTCTTATTCCGCATACGACCCGTGGTACCGATTGCCATAATTGAGCGCCATCAAAGGCCAGAGAGCTGCTGAAGTAACTCTGCTTTGACACCGTATTAAGGCAACTGAGGGGAATCACTCCTTTGACCACTAATAGAATCTTTGACCTTAAATTTACCAAAGGTTTTGGAGAAGATATTGCGAGTAGAAATAACCATATTAGACAGAAATTAGTTTAAAAGAGAAATATAAGAGCGTGATTATTGGCTTGAGCTATACTTTATCACTAATTTGAATACATTAACTCAAAAATATTTGGTTAAACTATAGAAAAATGCCCTTAGTTTGTAGCTGAACCATCCTTTCTTCTAAAATACTAAACATCCTATATCTAGGAGGATTTTCATATTACTTCCCTTAAGCAATTGTTGGGCAATTTATTAATCCAATTATCGCGCAGACTGACACGTGATTGATTGGCCCCCGGGCAAGTTCAATGGCGATGTGAGAATATATTCACAATAAGCCATTAAGTCTTTGATTGATTTAACCCTAGATCCAGGAGAGAGACTTTCTGGCCAGCGACCGAGTTCAAAGGGGATCTAAATGGCGGGAAGTTTCGGGATTCAGTCTCCGCTCGAGCTCTAATTTCTTGCCCCGACCACGTCTGTGGCAGCTTTATGATATGTTCAAACATAAATCATGCATGAATGTGGCAGAAAAGCGATTTAAGTGGACTGGGAAGCGGAGACACGGGCATATACACAACTTTGTGCCAAAGTCCTACAAAAGAGAACAACAGGCGGCGGCAAATTGCCCAACAAATCAATCAAATACATCTGACAGAGCTGCTTGCTGGAGCCGGGTCCTGCTCCACAGGACATGTAAATGAAAGCGAGATGAAAACGAAAGCGAAGGCGAAAAGGGAAGAGCTCTGGGCTGTTATTAAAGTGGCTTGTTGAGCGCTTGTTCCGTTCCCTTTCATCCCATACCGGGCTGAGGACTGGTCTGAGGACCGGACATGATGGCCAATGATGCGGATCGATTATTTGGGCCCGAGAGCCAAAGTTTAAAGTCCTCAAGATGCCATCAAATTTTCATGCTCAAGCTCTCGCGAATAGGCCACAACATGAGCGGCATCGCTAATGAGCCAGCGGGACGAGGACACTCCCTTATGGTTTTGCTGATCGTAAAATATGGCCTTTAAAATTGATTCTGAAATATTACGTATACGCCGTATGTGCTTGAATTCTTTCTAGGCGAATTTCATATTCAGTGGCAAACATCATAATATTCTCGTTAATTTCATAGCTACTTTGCATTCGCCTCGGGCCCCAACATAAACATTAAAACAAATTATTCCAGCTCAAGTGAACTCAACTTCCAATCGACTTCATTATGCCACCTGCTCCACGAGAGCGGAGAGCCTCAAGATTCCGCCGGCTGCCGACTGCCGGTTGCCATACGCCAGTTGCCAGCTGCTCATCTGGTCCTGGATCTGCCTCGGCAGTCTCAACTTTAATTGCCAGGACTGGTTCCACCTTTCCGCCCGTTGTTTACTTTGCCTTTTGCAATTTTCCTCTCAACTTTTTCCACGGCCTTCGCCTCTTATTCGCTTATTTTGCCTCCAAATTAATTGTTGACATTTGCATCACAAAAAATATACAAGCAGAAATAAGAGTAAGAACAGAAAACACATCTCGCTGCTGGTCTGTGGACGGGTTGATCCATCCTTCTCCCAATTCTTTTTCTCCATTAATTAGGTAAACTTTTGTGCGAAATGGTATTTGTTTTGTTTGTATTCCAGTTGGTTAAGTGAGCGTTTGTTCAGCTTGATTGGTTGAAGGAAAGGCTGGCCATTCGTCCTCAATTGGGAGCAGATTGAGCCAGTAATTTTACTGAATTTATTATATGCAACTCTGGTTGCTTCCACGCTCAATGCCTAAGTTTCAAAGCTTTAAAACTGCCTTAAAGAGGACATATCCATTATAAATATTAAAATTAAATTACACAAGGGATTACCTTTGGAAAACTCCATCAATATGTGATGTGTTTTACCCATTGGATAATGATATTTCTTGTAAAAACCAATTTCAGCAAGCAAAAGATAAAATCAAAACCACAAAATTGCACAGCTTAGTAAAGCTTTCGTTGGGCACAGCTTCGGCATACAGAGCGTTTCATAGCTATAAAGTGTTATTGGAATTACAAAATTAAACACTCAAAAAGAAAAATTAACATATTTTTAATTAATCGTAAAGGTAAAATTAGCTCTTAAATTAAATACCTATAGTTAATGTTTAAAGATTTCATTTTAGGAAAGATGAGCTCTAAAATTTTAAAAACGTTTTATAGCTATGAACCGGAGTGTTTACGGGTATTTTAGGAACAACCAAATGGCGATATGTAAACATTTTATGTGCAAACTTTTTCACATCTCTCGGAAAACTGTGAGCATAAAAAATGAAACTGCATAGCGAACGACTTCCTTCCCGAACACGGACATGGACATGGTCGCACACAAAAACCTGTCGCCTCCCATTCAACTAACCGATCCAATCCCCAGGCCCTCGCCCACCGCATCATTCACCAAATGCATTACACAAATTGTTCGTTTATGGCAGGTCAAAGGCAGAACTTGAAGCGAAAACCGCACATAAAAACTATTAGGTTGGCCCTTTAGGAACCAGGCACCCGGTACCTGGCGGAGGCAAACAGTTTGCCTCCGTAGCCCGTAGTTCCTGTCCAAAGGTGGAACATCTGTCAGCGGAATTCGGGTATTCAGGCATCCAGGCATCCAGGCATTCGGGCGCGACATCCAGCAACATTTTTGGCAACATTCAGCGGCTCAGCGGTAGACTGTAAAAAGGTAGCTTTTCCTTGGACTACGACCAATATATACCTTCTAGGGTTATTCCCTGAAAAGGATAACTTAGCTTGCCAAGAGTGTAAGTAATAATGCATCGAGATTTCAATGCTGAAGGATATATCATTTGCAAATGTTCACTTTAGAGACAATGTAAAAACGTAAGTATATAGAAATATTACGTTATTATGGACAGCCCTTATGTCTGTACAGAGTCCTCCATATACCCTTGAATGCCACCAGCGAAGGGTGTAAAAAATCGCATCGAAAACTAGCTGACAAACATGTTCCACTCATTCGGAGAGACAGAAACAGGAACGGAGACACGGACATGGACATGGAGGCCCTCTCACTCACTCCCCCTAAACGGATTGACATTTCAATCTCTGTTGGAATTGGAATGCAATGGGTGCGACTCCAACGCCAAAACCCCCCCTTAAACTACCCCTTTTTCTCCTTGAGAGCAGCTTCGCCGTCTTATTTCGTGCATATTTCACAAATTGCATCCGTTTGTCGCATTTGGCAGCCATATTGCAAAGCTAAACAACTTCCGCACGACTGATTGTGAGTCAATTACAAAATTGCATTTCACCCCGTGGGGTTAGGGCCACCCTTGTCCTTGTCTACCCCTATTTTAGCTCTTAGTTTGGCTTGTTTGCAGCTGCATTCATTAGGCCAAAAGATGCTGGGCAACTTATTCGGGTGAAATTGGCCCTGCCAAAAATGGCTGCAAATGTGGAGCAACTTGCATCGTTTAGAGTTTTGGGAAAGTTGTGCCGAGGAGCTGCACAAGAGAGAACATAAAGGAAACCGTTAGCAAATTTGCTGTGAATACAACATTTGGTAAATGAATTGCTAAAGTATTTAACAAGGGCTTGTACTGCTTCTAAACCTAATTTCTAATATAATAATACGGATAATAATATATTATTTTACATTTTTATAGCTTGCATATCCCTTAAAAAGTTCTTAGCCGAATTTCAAATCAAACGTAAAGGGGTCACACGAACCTCAGCCAACGAACCATGAGTGGACCTCCCTTATCCTTATGGAAACCATTAGCAACATCAACTTGGAGTGACCCAAACTAGCCCAGGGATGGAATTGCTTGACCCTCTGGACTAAGCGAAGATTTGCGGCAGAGTCACGTAGAGCGAATAAATTTTGTATGACATTGCCGGCCAGGAGCTGCTGGGCTCCTGGATTTCTGGACTCCTTGGGAGCAGGAATAGGGAGTATGAGAGGCTGCCATCAAAGTAGCGCAAATTTGTAACGGTAATTTAGCCTGGGCGTCCACCGGATTTCAGTTTGGAAAGATGGCTCCGGGAGGGCCACACTAAGTAGCCAGGACCATATTTCACGCAACGACTACAAAACAGACATGACCACGCCCCAGTTGGTAAGCGATGTTGACCACCGCCCACTCAGGCAGTCCCCCATCCCGGGACCCCATCCATTAGATGCCAAATTGAATTAAATGTAAAAATCTTTTGCACGCAATTGAGAAATGGAAAAGTGCAAAATAAATTTATAGACATAAATATGAAAGGAGCGAAAGATGCCGGGGCGAGGCAGAAGAAGAGAGTACTTTTCAGGGCTTTTTACGACTTCCATAGAAATTAAAATGCCTTTTAATGCTGCCAGAATATAAATTAAATGGCCGCATTTCGTTGCCGTTTTATGTTTATTTCCTACCGTGTCCTGGGCCGCCGCCATTGGAGCTCCGCTCTGCGACCAAGTCTCTGGCTCGGCAGCGAAGCGATTTGCCGGTAAATTGAATTGGCATAAAGACAAACTGAAAGTTCTGCCCAATCCATGGAAAGTGTCTCAATTTGTGTACATGTACATCCCCGAAAACGTCGATCCAATACCCGCCGTCTGCTTTTATGGCTGCAGATTTATACTCGCATTGTCTGCAATTCGAGAGGAGTCAAAAACCGTGCGATTTGTCTTATAGTTCGCCCCGTCCCGAGTCCCGGGCGATTACTTTGTTGCCAATTGTTTATGCCATTTAAATTTGTTATGCCCATTTTATGTCTCTTTGCGGTTTTATGGCCAAACTTTTATTTATGTCTCTCTTTCGGTCACGCCAATTGCATTTGATTAGGTTTCTGTTGGCATGGCTGGAGCTGAGTTTACCGGATAGGGCAATGTTTACAGCGACTTAATTTCAAAAAGATATATACTTCAAACGATTAAACTGCCTTTTAATGGTCTTAAATTTGGGGATAAGGTAAATTGGATAGTCCCATTTCACCCACAATTTATACCCAGAATGCGAAACATCTCAAAATATCTATATTCTTTTCTTTCAAAATCAAAACCAGTCACTCATTGACAGTTTAGTCTCAATTATATTGAAATTCATCAGTCATATCTATGCCAAAAGGTCCTTTTGCGGTATGAACTCCATGGAAGGGTCTTCAACAAACCTTCCGAGCCCGGCTTTAACTCAAAGCTTGAATTCGCTTGCAACCTCCACGGTCGACCTGCGGAGTCCCAGTGACCGGTGGCCATACGAAGATGAAGAACCGCTTGTGCTGGAGGACTTAATGGCCTTCGAGAGCCGCCTGATAGAGCTGGGCTCCGAAAGCAGGTCCTGCAGCTTCCCCTGGGTCCCCTTAGTCGGAACGATATTCGCCTGCACAGCGATCAGTGCCTGCCACTGGATACCGAGGGTGCGCGATAGCCAGTCCATAGTGCTAAGGAGTCTGTCCGGACGCGGCGCCTTCACCTTGTCCCTGGCTACCCTCATCCTGACGGTCCTCTTTGGCGTGAGACACATCGTTTACAGCAAGCGTAATAGAGCAATAGAGCTCTCCCGCGACGCCCTGACCCTTTTCCAGCTGAAGTGCGAGAGGAACGGGGAGCTTGTTGAGATTTCGAAGAACTGATTATCTTCAACGCCACATTGATTAGTTACCACATTCGCAGGCATACTACACAAAAGGAGAAAAACAAAAAAAAATTCAAAACAGATTACAGACATGCATTTCATAGTTTCGAAATAAAATGGAAGCCGGCTTACAGATGCATTTGCATTAATACTTTTATTAAGTTTTGGAATCTTATAGATATATATAAATGCAAAGAAGAAGCAGCTAGAGTCGTTTCTTCAAGAAAGAAAATTCAAGGTAAGATTATTTCCCTAAACTCGATCTAGTAAGCCACGAGTTTGTACTAAGACCGACCTAAAACTCACACGCTTTCATTCGATTTTCAACTTCGGAGCTAAAGACAACTCACAGCGGCTAAAGTATTGACAAATTGTATAGTTTTGCTAACACTCTTGTTTTGGTTTTTAATGTGCAAAAATATTTACACTTTCTATAACAGAATTACATATATCTCGGCAGTTTTACAAGTACCCAAAATATTACTTACGCTTCATAATAATTACTCCTGGAATATTTACAGCCTTACAGCTTTTAAATAACGAACCTTGAGGAGATGAATAACAACAACTTGGCGACATTTTCACCCTTTATGGGTCAAGGGAAACGCGATGCTGACATGAAGTTAAATCACGGAACCACTGCTGTGGGATTTGTCTACCAGGGCGGCATTGTACTATGCGCAGATTCAAAAGTCACCCAGGGAAACGTCATTCTATCGAAGAGCATGCTAAAGGCCTTACCGGTGGGTGACCACATCATGGCCACGGTAGCCGGCGCATCCGCAGATTGCTCCTTCTGGATCCGGACTCTTGCCTGGGAGTCTCGCCTGCACGAGCTTAAGTACGGTGAGCCGCTGTCCCTCCTAGCCGCGGCCACAATTATCAGCAATGTGTCGTTGGATGAATGGGACAATGGCCGGAACCTCTACATGGGAATGATACTGGCCGGCATGGACGAATCTGGTCCCGGCTTGGTCCGCATCAACTGCGACGGCTTCATCGTCCGGGGCACACTCTTTGCCGTAGGCAGTGGATCGGAGAGAGCTCTGGAAATCTTGAACACCGGTTTCGACTTCGATCTCAGCGACCAGCAGGCCTTTGACCTTGGCTTTCGAGCCGTCTGCCACGCCTCGATTGAAGATGCCTATACAGGCGGTTCGGTAAGCCTGCATCACATGGTCAAGAATACCTGGAAGACTTTGGGGACTAAGACCTGCAAGGAGCTGCACGAAAACTTCAAAAAGGGCCTGAATTATGCTGGAGAGGGTGAGGACGAGGAGTTGTTACCACCCAAAAGGCTCAAGCTGGTTTAATGTGTTTCTTAATTGTTCTATTTTGATTTCTCAGCATAAAAAGGTACATTTCTTGACCAAATTAAGTACTTGAAAGGGGTCAAGCTGAGCGATTTATAAAGAGGGGAATGAGCATCCACATTTACGTGTGTAAATTAGTTATTGCACTTGGCACACCGGGGTCTGGCCTGCCGTGTTTATTTTGCGACATTTAAAAAGATTTATGGCCACACCTCGCCTGCAAATGGCAGTTGCAGCGGGAACACGGGTCCAGTAAGCAGATTCGAGTTGGGCAATTTGCCGAAAGTCATTAAGTTTGCGCATCGCTGCAACGGCAACGAGATTTTCGCTCCAGCGGAAGGACGGGAGGCGACTTACCAGGGCTCATTTTTATGCAATCCGAAATCCCATTTGGGCGGACCGCCGCCAAGGAGCAGGGCAACTCTTGAGAGGCTCCGGCTGAGGCTGCCATAAATATAATTACAGTTTCATTTCCGGTCCGACTCGAAAGTGGGAATTTCGGCAGGTAGGCGACAACGACGACGACTTGGCTCAGCTGGCAACACGTGGCGGATGAGTAATATGCATGGTGCCCTGCCAGCAGCTGCCTGCGAGCTTAAGTCAGCCGATGGGAGTAGTTGTAAATGCTCAGCGAATATGATTCATTCAGGAATTGTTTCAATTATTTTCAAGCTGTAAAATGAACGATTAAACATGAAAGAATGTGCAATGGATTGGATTTATCCACCGAAATCAGCATTTTATGTTGCTTGCAGCTCTGTGTAATAAAGCTTTTTACTACCGAATCGAGATTTTACAACCTCAGCCTGCAGGCGATATACAAAAAAAAATTCCAAACACAATTTAGGACACTTTTAACTTTAGTTTGCGCCACTATCGCATCGTTCTGTAGCCCATATATATGCCAAAGACCACGCAGCAGCCGAGGAAAGCGCAGCGTAGCTTCTCCGGGTCCAGTTTTGCGTCCCGGTCGCACAAAAGCAACCGGAAAATGGATATGTAAAGCCTGGCGTAGGTACGCGGCGATGGCTGGGAAGTAAGGGTGCACTCCGGGAGAACAACCAAGTCCTCCTCCTCGCTATCGTCGCGCAGATCCACCCGATGCATTATCTCCATCACCCCGTCGTCCGCTGTTTCTCTTAAATAGTGAATGGACTTCACCTCGCGCTCGTGCTTGTGTTCCCTCTCGCGGGTCTGCTCCGCCACCGGGATCCGCTCATCCCCCGCCGTCGTTCGTCTTCGCCACCACCCCCAGAAGTTACCCGCCACTCGCTGCAGCGGCTCCTGGCTGAAAAAGTCGTGGTAGGTGGTGGCCGTACTGACGCTACTCGAGCGCTCGACCAAATCGGTCTGAGCCTGAGCAACCGCCAGCGTCTTCAGTTCCTGAAAGTCAAACGGCTGGGGTTGGGCGTAGGCCTGCTGTTGCCTCTCTCCCTCCCAGCGATCAAAAAGGGTATCCCGATCGCGTTCTTCGCAATCGTAATTGAAGTCCTCCTCTGAAATTTCTGGGTCCTCCCCTTCGGATTCATCCGCCTGGTACTCGCCCTCAGATGCATCGTTGCTGGGGTCATCTTCGGTGGTTGCCTGATACGTACTCTGGTGTTGTTTTTGACACGCAACCACTTCGCTTCTTCGCCGCTCATCGTGAGATCTTTCCTGGCATTTTTCTTGGTTTTTGATGGATCCTCCCTCAAATCTAGTCGTCGCCTGGCTTTCCCCTGCGCCCTGGAAACGTTTGAGAGTTTCGCCTATCTTGGTGGTGATCTCTCTGACCGTATCCAGAGAGAAGGGTAGCTGGAAGCCCAGGAAACTGGTGTCAGCACCTTCCGCTGCGGCATTCGCTTCAGGTGGTTTGTGGAATCTCTTCCGCTCAGCTTGCTTGTGCATCCTGCTCTGCTCCTGCCAGGTCATATACCGCTGAGGCTCCAAGACCGGCTCTTGAAGCTGCTGACGGTACCGAAAGCTACTGCTTGGTGGCGGGTTGCTACGCAAATTGAGAGTATTGGGCTTGGGCCAGTAATTCAGGGTAGGCACTGCGGGCGGAGGCAAGGCGACCCTGGAATCGTAGTGCTGCTGCGGTGGAGGAGGGTTTGGTCGAAAGTTGGGATCCCCGGAATACTGCAGCCTGCATTCCTCGGCGAACTGATGGCGGGCTCGAAACCGGGCTCGCTCCTTGATCAGAGCAATGTGCAGCTGGCGCTCTGCTTGACGCCGATTATGGGGGGAGATCGGGCCCGGAAAGATGCTATAGCTCTGGCACATAATGGAGAGTTGGGCGTCCGAGAGTTGTCGCACCTCCTGGTAAATTGGACGCTGCGGTCGCCCCGGAAGGGCACTGCTTTGCAACATGGCTTGGCGTGGCGTCAATTCCGGGATTGGGGCATATTTCGGTCAAGAAACAGTGGCGAAACTGGAATACTTTAGACAGTTGACAATAATTTTTGTTGTATATTTTTTGAATACCTGAGGTTTTGAATAAAGTCAAACAATGACATTTTGCGTGGGTGTCCAGGTGTGTTTGGGTGTAAAGATTTGGAAAGTGAGAAGTCTTTTGATTTTTTTCTTCAAGTAAACTCCAATTGAAGCTTTCGGATATCTGAAAAAACCAAAACAAAAGCATTTGTTAAAGCCATCGAAATATGCTGGTGTTTTCTTTGTCCCATATTTATACCCTTGCAGGGTATTATAATTTCAGTCAGAAGTTTGCAACGCAGTGAAGGAGACGTTTTCGACCCTATAAAGTATATATATTCTTGATCAGCATCAACAGCCGAGTTGATCTAGCCATGTCCGTCTGTCCGTCTGTCTGTCTGTCCGTCTGTCCGTCTGTCCGTCTGTCTGTTTCTACGCAAGATAGTCCCTCAGTTTTAAAGCTATCTGAATGAAACTTTGCATATAGTCTTCTATATACTCTCACTGCTATATATGTCGGAACGGGCCGGATCGGACGACTATATCATATAGCTGCCATACAAATGTTCGATAAATTTTTAGAAAAAAAAATTATAACTTGGCTGTTTTTCAATATTTTTGTATCATTTTTGAGATATAGCCATTTTATATTATTCCAGCTCATTATGCATAGAAGGAGTCATTTCCGACCCTATAAACCATATATATTCTTGATCAGCATTAACAGGCGCATCTTTCTGACCATATCCGGCAAAAAAAATTTTTTATCAATTTTTTCAAAATTTTATAAGGGGTTACATCATTAAAATTCTCAAAATTTGATAAAATTTTGAATTTTTAACTAAGTTTGCAAATTTGTTAACCTTATAAAAACTAACATAACACCGCGTTCCGAATGCAAATTAAGGCATTTTTGACAGAGTTATGGCTTTGTTAGTTTTTAATTTTCTGTTTTTCTCATTTCAATTACCGACTTTCCATCGCCATCGCTCATCAGTACCACCCACCCCGACCAAAAACCAAGGGAAAGGACCAACGACACAGCGATCCGCGAAGCACAAGTTCATCCTAGTCATCATTGTAATTGATGATTGATGATCATCGGATCGGCAGTGGTGAAGCTGGAGGAGCAAGCAGCTGGGATGGCGGAGCTCAAGCGAATGGCAGTGGTCGGATCTTGGCTTCGGGCTAGCTGAAGCCCAGCAGGCGTAAAGTATTGGAATATTTATAACTACTACTACTACTACTACTATAAATGTGTAAATGTAATTGATGGTACAAACAAATTTGAATCAATAAAAAAAGGGAAATCAATGTGAAATTGTGTGGTTTAAGCGGCATTTATTTGGGGGCCTTGGGATTGTGTGGGGAAAAATCTGTTGAAAGCCAAATCTAATTTTTTTCTGAATTTTTAAATTTTTTTCTGAATTTTTAACATTTTTTTAAGATTTTTTAAATTTTTTTAAATATTTTAACTGCCAAATTTGAATTTGAATTTAACTGCCAAATTTGAATTTTAATTTAACGACGATCAGTTTCAGTGTGCCCAGGTGCAGTTGTAAAATAACACCTAAATTTGGATTCAAAAAGGTTTGGGTCCCCGCTAACTTGCGCCGGCTCCTAAATGGTTTGAAACTTGGACAAAATTTACAATATGGTCACACTGGCACGTTTTTCGTGGCCCAAAGTTTTTATAACAGTTTATACCAGTTTTCAGTTGCTTGCTGCTGATTTCTGTTCGCCTGTTACCCCAGTTTGGAAAGCGGCCAAATTGAATGAAAAATTTTGGTCACTTGCATCAGTGATGCTCATCTTCATCAGTGATGCTCATCTGGCTATATTTCAATATTAGGGGGCAATGAAATCGGACATAATGACAGTGATGCTCATGTGCATTAGTGATGCGCATCTAGCTATTTTGCATTAATGGGACAAAATGGCATCTCACTAACTGCCAGTGATGCTCATCTAGCTATTGCTATATTGGGAGGCTATAAAATCTCGGTTAATACCAGTGATGCTCATCTAGCTATATTGCATTATTGGGACAAAATGGCATCTCATTAACTGCCAGTGATGCTCATCTAGCTATATTGCATTATTGGGACAAAATGGCATCTCACTAGCTGCCAGTGATGCTCATCTAGCTATTGCTATATTGGGAGGCTATAAAATCTCGGTTAATACTAGTGATGCTCATCTAGCTATATTGCATTATTGGGACAAAATGGCATCTCACTAACTGCCAGTGATGCGCATCTAGCTATTTTGCATTAATGGGACAAAATGGCATCTCACTAACTGCCAGTGATGCTCATCTAGCTATTGCTATATTGGGAGGCTATAAAATCTCGGTTAATACCAGTGATGCTCATCTAGCTATATTGCATTATTGGGACAAAATGGCATCTCATTAACTGCCAGTGATGCTCATCTAGCTATATTGCATTATTGGGACAAAATGGCATCTCACTAGCTGCCAGTGATGCTCATCTAGCTATTGCTATATTGGGAGGCTATAAAATCTCGGTTAATACCATCTAGCTATATTGCATTATTGGGACAAAATGGCATCTCATTAACTGCCAGTGATGCTCATCTAGCTATATTGCATTATTGGGACAAAATGGCATCTCACTAACTGCCAGTGATGCTCATCAAGCTATTGCTATATTGGGAGGCTATAAAATCTCGGTTAATACTAGTGATGCTCATCTAGCTATATTGCATTATTGGGACAAAATGGCATCTCATTAACTGCCAGTGATGCTCATCTAGCTATTTTGCAATATTTTATGTTTCTTTCATTTGACACCGCTAGAATGCTCTTTTATTGAGCTTATTTAAATTATCCCACCCAAAAAAAAAAAACGCATCCTCCTCATAACTCCTCCTCGTCCTAATCCTCCTTGCCAACGCTCTCTGTCTCGCCATCGGCATCCGGAATTCGGAAAGCGGTTCTGAATTAGATTTTCTAAGCTTAACCAAACTGCATACTACGTTTAGTGATCCAATTGCAATCTGCAAGGGTATACACACTTCGGCGTGTCGAAGTTAGATTCCTTTCTTGTTTATTTTATTTTCCTGAATTTTATATAGTTTTGATGACCTGGCTGCATTTTCAGTTCAACTGTAAAGTTTTTCCTTCATCACTCTATGTGCCTCCTCTGTCAGAGACTCCAATATTATATTTGGATTGCTTTGTTTTATGTCATGGCCTTTTATTTTGTTTGTTTATTTTTTGTTATTTTTTTTTCCTGGGAGAAGGGTTCTCCATTGGGATGGGTTTAGGTGGGGCAGAATGGAAAGGGAGTATACTGTTGGGACCCCGCATAGATCAAAGGCGGCGGAAACTTTAAAGGGAAACTAAAACTGAAAACTTGTTAAAGTCAAGTGCATTTAAACAATTTTTGGGATACTATCCTTCATTTACCTACATAACTTAAAGCTGTTCTTAAGTTTAAACTCATGTATATAAAGTTAAATAATTGCTAGACTCTTAAAAGAATATGAAAGTTAACGTTTATATCCACTTGGTGGAGTGGGTAATTTACACTTAACCCAATTATGTCAATATATTTAAGAATAAAAACTCTTTAAAGGGAATATTTTGGCTTTAACCAAAACGCCACCTAGATTAGGGCCAAGCAAGTTGGCCAAAAGCTTCTGGGCCAAGCTTTTCCTTGCTTATCAACCATGCTTACAGTGGCTTTCAAACCGCATAGAACAAGTTAAACAAATAAAAACGTTTCGTTAAATATTCATAAAGTTTTATTAGTAAACATATATTTAGACTACGCACAACTACAAACATTTTGATGATTCGTAACCTAAACAATTTTCTCTTTTCCCTCTTGGCTGAAAGCATGGTAAACGCTGAAATATGTGTTAGATTTATTTATCTTGTATACTCGGGATCTATGGTGGGTTTAAGTTTACTTTTATAATATGCAATTAATGTGTTACGCGTATAAATTGACAGCTTGTCGCTATTATTGTCATTCAAGAATTCGTTTGCCACGCTTTAAATATAAATATTCTCCATAAAGATTTATATATGTATACTTAAGCTATTAAGTATTTACAAAGCTCAACTATGAACACGAACTTGTAACGGCATTTGTAATTCTGATTCGATTTAATTGATATTTATTAGTTAGTACTTGCATCTTATTTTCCGCTCTACTTTCCTTCCTGTCTTTTCAGTTTGTATTTGTATTCGCTATGTCAGAAAACTCGTAGAATAACCATTAACAAATACTAGATACGAGTCTCAGAGGACTCCTAGTCTGCTAAGAAAATGCAATTGCATGGAGCTCGGATTGTTTACTCTATTTCGTTTCGTTTTGCTTTTAATAATACTAGGCTTGTGGGGGAGAGTGTAATGCAAATTTGAACTCAATTTAATATAATTATATTTAAAAATTATTTACACCGTGAAAGTATCTCCTAATTTAGACGATAAAGTTCTTTTGTTTTCAACTTAAATCTTATTTGTCCTCGCTTTCTGGCTCTTTTACGTTCGGAAAAACAAACTAGATAACGAATGTGTCACATAAATTCGTTGCTGGCTTAGTACTTGTACTCTGGCAGACTCTGCCTCAAATTAATCAATCTGGAAATTAGATGCGACTTGGTCACCCTAAATACTCCGCAAACAAACATGATGACTCCGTCCCAGCCGCGATGCGATCCCGATTCTGATCCCGCGACGACCCTTAAAACTCCTCGTCTTCGTCGTCGTAGTCGTCGCTGTCGCTATCGTTGCTGGGCAGGATGTGGAAACAGGCCCACAGCCGGGACATGTCCACTCATCGTTTGCGGTTATAGGCGCCAAGCGAAGACTGCCTTCATTCCTTCATCTCGTGGCCATTGGGGCCCAGCTCGAGGAGCTCATGGGGCTCGGCATTCAGCTGTGGGATAGAAAATGTATTTAAAATTTGATTGTTTTGAAGTTATTATGTTATTAATTATCCCTGACAATATGTATAAGTAATTATAGTAATCAGACTTACCCTATCCACGCTGGCCAGATCGTTCTTTGACAAATGATTCACCAAAATAGTACCCAGGGCATCGCACATCACATTAATGGTGGTGCGGAAGCGATCCCTAAAT